GTTAACATTCTCCATTTCATATCGTATTTATTGAAATCGTCCGCAGCTCCGGATTTCTCTTTGATTTGAGAATAGGACTTGAGATCCCTCCCTTGATAGTCAAAAGATGAATGTGTCAATAACATTTTCCTTGCTTGCTTCCTCCTTCCTTACGTCACGCTTTAGCCTCCATTTTGAAAATAGAGGTTCAGAATTTATTATTTAGTTATTACGTTAACTCGTACCTAATTATTACGTTGCCATTATAAGAAGTTAATTAAGAAGTCTATTAATTATCAATACCTTGTTTTCAGTTTCGTGGTCCGCTGGCTAGAAAAGCAACGCGAGCGTCTGTCAGCGAGCGAGCTGTCGGAGGCCGAGGTCAAGGCGCACTGGGAGTCACTCGTCGCCGCCATCTTCTCACACGTCAGGTCGACTTTATTCATAATACTAACCATTATTTGTATAACAAACGTAACAATAACAAATAATATTTAATTAGTCGAAGTGGGTCATGATTATGAGCCCCGGTGTTGCTCGAAATTAGTCGAACCACTTCGAACAGTCTCATTACTAAACTGTAAATATTATTTATTGGTGGTAATAATAAATCTGGACTTTTGTTATATATGTTATATATAGACTTATTTTATATTTTGTTTTTTTATAGACTTTATAGTTATTATGGACTGTATTATTATACAAGCTAATACATACATAAATTATGAAGCTTTAAAATCCAAAAAGAATACTTTTGTTTTCGACTCTTTTGTTTGGAATTTTGTAACAAAATTGTTGATGAATTTGTGTACTGGAGTGCGATGCGGCGTCACATCGCAAAAATGTGCGAGCTCCCTCTACGCACGCACTCGCAAGTACTTGCGAATTGATTCGCATCGCGCATCAAAATCTTATCTTCCCAAAATCTTCTTTGTTTCTTTTTCCTATATCTCCGAAGCAATAACAGAAGTGCACACTTCTTTTTACGATCTATAACACGACCTAGTTTTCAATTTAAAATACGTTTAGTACGGTTGACGGTAGTCGAATTAATGATCACCCTGGGAGACGCCTTGTCGCACGAAATCGCATCGCAGCAATTCGCATTGTAATTTTTTGCGTTGCGAATTCGCATCGCATCGCAGTTTTGTGTACGTGCCCTAAGTTCGTATGTACGCGTTCGGCGCTCTGATTGGCCGGCTCCAATGAATCAACTAATCAGAGTATCGAACACAGATCCGTTTCGATTACTTTAAACGTACAAAAAACTCGTACTAACGCCTCAGATGTGTTAACAATAAGCTAACTTACGAAGTATCAGTTTACTAAACACTTTTGCAAACTCCTTTTAGTAAATTTATCAAACTCATCATTAAACTATAGCATTTCCAGAAGTTTCTAGAAGCCAGCACACTAATATTATAAATGTGACAGTTTCTTTGTTAGGATTTCCGACAATCACACTGAAACTACTGCACGCATTTTGATGAAATTTTGTATACAGCACAGCGTGTGCTGACTTAGATAATAGGATACTTTTTAACATAGCATAAGATAGCATCACGCCTTTTATCCCCGAAGGAGTAGGCAGAGCTGTACATTATGCCATTGTACAATGTAACACCCACTTTTCACTATTTATGTTATGTTATGTTATGAGTCCCATGTAATAGGGGGTGAGCCTATTGCCATATACCGGGCACAATTCCAGACTCCGTGCTGCTACTGTGAATTTTTGAAAAACCAAGTAATACTTTGCCTGACCCGGGAATTGAACCCGAGACCCTTTGCCCGGCAGTCGCGCCTGCGACCACTCGGCCAATGAGGCAGTACTTTTTATCCCAGTTAAATGGGATAAAACAGGAATCATGTCCTACGCGAATGAAGTTACGGGCAAAATCTAGTAATTAATAAATTAATTAATAATTGACTATCGTTTACCCACAGATTCCCGATGATGTGCCCCAATCAACTAGCGCAGTTGTTGCTATGTCCCCTGACTCAGGAACATAAAGACTTCTTCATGGAACGGATGGCAATCGCCATGAGTTATCAGTCAGGTAATTTCTATGATACAGTTAGTCAGAAAACCCTATATTAAAACCTCAGACTTATTTAACTATTTATACCCAAGCCGTCACCGGTGACCGCTCTCCGCTAACTATATTATAGACCTTATTTCCAATGTTTAGAGACTACTTTTGTATGAACAAATTTAGGGGATGATTTTCAACAGGTTAACTTATTAAAAAATAAATTGTTACCTGCTTAGGTTTTGATATCAAGATAGCCTTAGACTAAATTTGTGACTTGGTTGGTTAGGTGGTCAGAAATAGGACAATTGCATCTTACTGTATCTAAGTCCTATATTGTTTTGTTTTAAAAACTTCGCAGGATCTTTTTTGTATTCATAAACAATGTTTGTACGACAACTTAAACTAAACTTTTTTTTATGTCATAAGCCGGTAAACGAGCAGACGGATCACCTGATGGTAAGCAATCGGCGTCGCCCATGGACACCTGGAACACCAGAGGCGTTACAAGTGCGTCACCTGCCTTTTGGGGATTAGGATTTTGAGGATCGTTGGGGATTCAGGAATTGGGGAGATTGGGAAAGGGGAGGGAAATTGGGCCTTCGGTAACCTCACTCACACGACGAAACACAACGCAAGCATTGCTTCACGTCGGTTTACTGTGAGGCCGTGGTATCACTCTGGTTGAGCCGGCCCATTCGTGCCGAAGCATGGCTCTCCCACACTTTAAACTTCTCGCTTAAGGTTCTGCCCGCAATAGGGTGGAATTTCGGCGATTTGTAACCGTGTTTTGTGGAACAAGAAATCGGATATAAGGAGCTAGACTTGGGGTTTTGTTCCGCGCCCGTTTTTCAATAGAATTAAATGTTACGCGGTTAAAAGCCGCCGCGGTTCCGCCCCCTAGTGGCACAGGGCGCTACAAATACATCAGTCGACGTCGGCAGGCCAGCTGGAGCGCGTGGCGGAGATCCAGCAGTCGGAGGCGGGGCGCATGTTGTTCACGCCGCGGCTGTACACGGAGGACACGTGGGGCTCCGTGCTGGCCGTCGACAACTTCCACTCGCTGCCCTGCTACCACACAAGGACCTTCATCTTCTCCACGCGGCCCTCCATCGCAGACGTGGCCCCGCAGGACAAGCTCATCGAGTGGACAGTAGACTTGTATCCCAAAGGAGTTTGGTTCAGGAAGAGCTTGCTGATCGTCTGGGCTGGGACCTATGATGTGAGTATATAAAGTTTTTCTTTGTGTTGATTTTGTGATGCTATGTAGATACACTATAACACTGATATTTCAGTTCAAGAGGGAAGATGCAAAATTTTAATGTGTATCACTTTTAAATTGATAATATTGGATACATATTATTCAGCGGTTTTTCATTACAAACATAATATTTTAAACCAAAAGCAACACTTATTGCGAATAATTATTTTGTTTATTTTCAGCTTTTATACAGGGTGTAAACGGAACACTTCCTAAAACGCAGATAAAATTCATTGTTTTTACAATAGGGTAGATGACTAATTTTTATTTTAATGTCCGTCTGGTAGATTGTTTTAAAACATTACACACGTATTTTTTGTTTTTTTACATAAATGAATACTTTTGACAATATATTGATTTGAAATGTCGCGTGACGTCACTTCTATGTACATTTTATACGTAGAAATGACGTTTTAGCCCCCACTCCTAAACTTTGATTCGTTATATCTAAGTATCGTTTTATTATACAACAAAATAAAAAAATACGTGTCTAACATTTTTTCATTATCTAACTGACGGACTAAATTAGATTTTTGATTTTCTTACCCTGTCAACTACACCATTTTAACCGTTTTTATTTTCGTGTTATTCATACAACATCAGCCTTGAGTTGTTGATCACATCTATTGTTACATAAAAGTAAGATTTAATTCCTTTTTTGAAAATAAATACCATCACCTGTCTGCTTTCCAGCAGCATTCCATTTACACCCTATATAGTTAGGCACATCGCAACTTAAACTCTTTTACGTTTACATATTCTCAGTCATCTGGATTTTATTTTGACACCGTTTTGTCTTTTCACAGTTCTATTTTAAACGACAATAAATAAAATGTATAAACTAAGCAGTGGCACCTAATTCGCTTTATAATTAGCTAAAACAAATTAAATTGAATATACAAAAAGTAAATAAAATTCCACCATAATTTAATTAATTTAATTTAAAACTTCACGCAAATCATTTGCTTCATTTACGCAGAGCGAGCGCACTTTGCCTGTAATAAAAGTATAAATTATAATTAATAGTATGGGTGTGAATTAATAGTATATTTTGTATTTCTTGCCCCAGAATTACTTCCACCGAACGCGTGGAGGCAATAGGCGGGTATGTACCGTATGTACGATCAGCGTAAATAATTATTAATATCACGCCATAACTTATATATAAATCATTAATAAGTTTAAAGTTAATATATAATTTCTAATATACGGTTAGGTATTTAAGAATATCTTTTTAAAAATATAATCCGGAATTAAAGTAGCCTATGTGTTATTCTAGACCATCTATACGCGTTCCAAATTTTACCCCGATTCCTTCAGTCGTTTTGATGTGATTGAGTAACATACAAAAAAATAATTCAGTTTTTCGCATTCATAAAATTAGTAGGAGATTTATTTTCCTTTCGCAATAAGCTCTTTCTCTCTCTCTGTCTCTCTCTTCTTTCGTGTGGCTCTGCCTACCCCTTCGGAGATTAAAAGGCGTGACGTTTTGTATTCTCATGGTGCCAGGTTTCATCAAATACGGCTCAGCAGTTTAAGTGGTGTAAAAATAATAAACTATTTATACTTTTTAAATCAGTTAGTTAAGGCCTAATAAATGTTTGGCTTATTAAATAAAAGTTAGTCCTAATTATAAATAGATTAGGCACAATATTAAATAATAATTTTGATATAAAATAAATAAAGATATAATAAATAAATGTGATATGTATTATTAATTATGATTGTTGTGATTTAATAAATGTTCACTTAAGAAGTTATTTTTAAAGTCCTTTTACACAACAATACAAACTTTAATTTCACCGAATTTAAAAAAGAAGTAGGTTCTCAGTATGTATGTATGTTTGAGCGGCGCGATATCTCACGATTGACTGACCAATGCGGTTTTCAGAAATGTGTTTGTTACACTTCGTTGATGATAGTGAATTGAATTCAATTAAAGAGACGGAATAGACTTTAGTGAATTTAATCAAGAATTCAAATTGTACATTATTCAATAATTGTTGTTGCGTCCGATCGCGAGCGCGCTTGATGGTGGAGTGGCGGGGCGTGACAGACGCATGATGCTTGCTCGCGCGCTGTCATGGCCGCCGGGTCTAGTGAGGGGGAATGGTCGGCGATAGTGATGGGAAGCATGAAGCCGAGTGCTTTAACACACTTAGGGCCTGTTTCACTATATCTGGATAGCCGCTATCTATCAGATAAATTCGAATTAAGACCGTAATTTATATGAACGATCTGTCACGTAAGTTTATGAGGTACTTATATGGAGGTGGTGAAACCGGCGCTTAAGATATTGTCATAGTGTATTAATAAATCGATCTGAAAAAAGAGGGTATACAAATCAGTTTTTTAAATAATTATATACCATCATTCATCGCTTCTAATCATCATAATACCGTGTTCTACACTCGTCAGATACCCGAGGTAGTGCTCCGTACAGTGCGCATCTCCGTGACGTGTCAGAACAGTCCGGAGTTCACAGTCAACGAGGACGGGGAGACTGAACAACTCGAACCTGATGTCAGGGTTAAGGTAAGGAGACCAGATCATTATATTCCTTTTTGTTTTGTTATTGTAGTCTTTATTCAGAACTGTTCAGCTCCTATTGCTCGCAGCGTGTTATTTTATCTATATCACTATCACTACATAGTATAAAACAAAGTCGCTGTCAGCCGTCTTTCTGTCCCTATGTAGGTATGCTTACATCTTTAAAACTACGTAACGGATTTTGATGCGGTTTTTGTTTTAATAGATAGAGTGATCCTTAAGGAAGGTTTATGTGTATAATACATGCATATTGCACCCATGCGAAGCCGGGGCGGGTCGCTAGTTATATATATATAAAATGAAACCCGTTTCCCGTTGACACACCATAACTTGAGAACGGCTAAACCGATTTGGTTGATTTTTTTGTTGTGTTTGTTATCATCAGGAGAAGGTTCTTATGACAGAAAAAAGTCCTGAATATCCTACGGGAAAGGGACAAACGGGATTGCGCGTACGAAGTCGCAGGCAGAAGATAGTATCTTATAACCTTCCTCGATAAATGGACTATTCAAATCGAACCTGTAGATCCGGAAACAAACATATTCTTCAACTTTACTTAATAGTATAAGAGTAATAATATAAAAGTATTAGTAAATGAGATGTCAGATTTTATGGGAGATAGGGACTGTAGCAGGGTTCCCAAGATTTAACAATGAATTATTGAGTTTTCTTCGGTTTTCAAAAGTAATAGCAAGGTTAACTAAAGTCGTGGTTTTCTCACGTGAATATACTGAGAAAGGCTCTAACGGTGATTTTAGTTAATTTAGTGTCTCACGATAGTTAATTTAAAAACATAATAGCATGATGTCTGAAACTGTGTACAACGTATGGGTCATTCTCTAATATGTGGGAATATTAACATTATTACCTCGCCTACCCGCATTGAGCAAGTGTGGTGATTAATGCTGTAAACCTTCTCCTTGCGAGAAGAGGCTACTGGTCAGCAATGACCACTTATAGGCTGTGATGTGATTAACAGGATTAGTGAAAAGTGGATGTTCTATTCATAATTAGTGTGGTCCATTCACCCCAGGGATTAAAAACTTAAAAAAAAATTAAGTATTAATAATAAACCTCTGTACTTTGTCATCAGATCGGCATCCTAGTGTGGGGTGTGGAGAAGGGAGTCGAGCACGTGTCCTCCGTGGTAGAGCGGGTACATCGGTTTTCAGCACAGAACAGGTGAGGTTTCTTATTGCATTATATTTTTGTCAATGACTAAGTGAAGCAGTCCAGCAGCTGTAGCCAAATTTAGCCATTTAGTGCTTGTCTCCATGTAGAATAGAAAACCAAATTATATGAAATCGACGTAAATTTTGACACTTGTCAGTGTCATCCCCATACATTTAGTTTTCTACTCTCTCAGTAGACAAGCGCTAAAGTGGCGTTTGGCTAAAGGCACAGTGCATATTATTTAACAATATCAAGTGTTAATGTCAAATAAAAATAAAAGGCTGCGCGGTAGCAGACAACCGGCTGCCGCGTAACGTACGGAGCAACTCTTTGTGTGTTCCACAAATTTTTGTTTCGTCATTGATAGTCATTACGGTAGGAATTTCTGTGTCTTCGATCGATTGATGTAGCACTCACAACAGTCGGCTTTGTCTTCGTATCGCTGCCTGTTATATATGTTCGTATGTCGCTACAAGTTCATTAATTTGAAAAATGAGTTTGAATCTTAACTACAGACAGGCATCATGTAGTAATGCATAGTACTGTGCACAGAGTGTTGAACATAGACGACGCGTTGGACTTCGACGCGCTGAACACGCCGCTGTACACGCCGTGCGGGCCGGCCGGCGCGCCCCCGCCGCCGCCGCCCAGCCTGCCCGCCGCAGGGAACAACTACTCGGTTAACAGGTCATTTACTTTTCCTCTTTTTCTAGAGCACTTGTATCTTTTTACTGTGTTAACATGTTTTTTTCTTGGATAAGCCGGTAGACATATCACCTGATGGTAAGCAATTGGTGTCGCTCATGGGCACTTAAAACACCAGAGGCGTTACAAGTGCGTTACCCGCCTTTTGGAGATTAGGAATTTGAGGATTGTTGGAGGCGAAGTTTAGGGAGAATGGGGGGGGGGGGATAATTGGGCCCCAATAACCCGGTAACACAACGCAAGCGTTGTTTCACGTCGGTTTTCTGTGAAGCCGTGGTATGACTCCGGTCGAGCCGACCCAGTAGTTCCGAAGCATGGCTCTCCCACACTCTAATTCTTTCTTAGATTCTAATGATTAACAACCTCAATTTTGTTAAAAATATATGTGAGATGTAAATATATATATTTTATTTATTTATTGTACAGTATGAGTTCCAAGCGTTGCAACAAGTGCTCCGACTATGAAGCCCCCGAGCCGAGACATCTGTTGGGACCTCATAAGGACCAGCTTAGGGTGAGTACTTACATGAAAAATTAAATATAACACATCCGTGTTATATTTAATTATTATGTAAAAGTATCCACTTTTACATAAAAATGTTAATCCAGAGTTAAGTAAACTATTATGAAATGGTCTTACAGAATACGTAACGATAAATAAGTTAAATGTATGAAAGTGATTCACAACTTATCGATAAATTTTTGTCGTTATCAAAGTCGGGACTGCCATCCTTGGCTTTAAAAAAATATTTATCAACTGCTTGTTATTATATTATACTATATATCAAATAGAAATAATAAATTAATTAGCTAAAATTTCTACTAAACCGAAAACAATATATTTTATGCTCTTAAGAAGTTGGTATATATATTTGTAATTTATTTTCGTTTACAGATACAAGTAGTGATCGTGCCTCTAACGGACTACTCCCACGTAGGAGCGAACGACACACAGGGATGACCTACAACAGTAGCGCGCATCTACTGCGCGGGTGTGGCATACCCGGACTGAGAGACACACATCTCTCAGCACCGCCTGCGAAGCGTGAAGGCAAGTTCGATGGAACATTTTCTTTGTTTTAGCTAATTGTATGCTATTAAAGTATAAAATCGTTTGTCAACTTATCAAGGCCAGCTCCCTGGATAGTAATTTGTATTCTACGCTGTTTTGTTAAAGTTCGTTATTGTATGTTGTTGATCGATTGTATTAGCCGGGATATTGAGTGTACATAAATGGCAATAATAATAATAAATAAGATATCACGGGCTTGTCTATGTGCTATATAGTTTTTAATAAGATTATGTTTTTAATACGTCCACAGTGCGTTCGGCCTTAGAACTCGAAATTCTAGCTTAATTGTTTCGTAGTTAATTTTAATGCAATTCGAAATATTTTATGATTATTGAAAATGAAAGGCGATTTGTAATGACCTCAAGTTTTGTTAACAAAAGTGCATTATAGTAGGGATGGTTACGGCAAAAAATACACAAATACTTTATGAATAAAGTTGAAAGTTTAAACGTCAACAAGGTTTGTTTAAAGTATTTAAAGATCAATGTCTGTCTGGTCCCTCGGTGACGGTATTTGATCATTCAAAATGTGTCTATAGAAAATAACAAGCAATTAAATTAATATGTAATACATTACTTCATGTAAAGTTATTACCATATTAAATTAATAATGACTTAATTGTTACAATGATTACAGTTGATATAGTCCGTCATCGTTCCCATTATAAAGCTCTTTCGTTTATATCACCATGCGCTACTTTATGTTGTAAAAATAATATAATATGTTATAGTATGTTGTATGCTAGATTAATTTACTTAGCAAAGAATTATATAATTATTATAACTATAAAATATATATACAAGGTGTAACGAAAAAGGTATATAAATATCAATAGTTTGTTTGTTTCGATCATAGTTTTTTTTGGAATAGTAGGCAAACGAGTAGATGGAACACCTGATGGTATGCGATCAGCGCCGCCATAGGAGTCACAGGTGCGTTGCCGGCCTTTTAGAAAGGAGATTATATATTACAATTTCGTAATTCTACCTATATCTAATCTAAATAGTCAAAATACTAGAAGTGGCCTGTCGCGGTCTATTATTTACATAGGTACATACATAACGACACGCCTGTCTCCCATGGGGGTCTGTTAATTATGGTAATTAAACTTTGTATAGTGTTTCTATACCAGCTATATTTTATCTATGCGTTCCAACGACCTAGAGGGTTGTTGGTTCTTGAAGCAGGAGTAGGAAATGGGTGATTTTTTGTCAGTAAGAGTATGGCACTCTCTTTCGCTTCACCCAAAGCGGAAAAGTCATTGGAAGAATTTCCTCTATCTAAAAAAAGCGATATTCTAGCTATAAGGTTTTCGTTACATCATGTATTATGAGGCTAAATAATTATGACTGTTTTAAAAAACATATTTGAGGCAACGTTTTATGTTATTTTAAGTCAATGGTTGAAGACCTGCGCGATGATTTGCTGAACAAAATGTACTAGAAATATCAAGTTTTTTAATTGCCATTCTGTTAACCACTTGAATGCCGATAGGTATATAAGACACAATAGAAAATTGTAATAAATGACGGCGATTTTACAATACTACAAGTACCTAAATTACCTTTACATAAGGTTCAAATTCGCTCAATCATTGACATATTTCAGCAAATCTTCGTAAAAAGGTCGTTTAGTATTGTTGTGGAACTGAATAATTAAATATTAAATAGACATGTTATATCAATGCATATAAGTTAATGTTTTTATAGTAACATAAGGAGGATTTGTGCTCATACGCAGTTTATATGTTTCATGTACTTATTTGTATTTCTTATTATTTATTATGGTATTAGACTGGTTTTTTATTTACAATACAGTAATACTGAGCGTATAATTGTATCAATACATGTCGGTGTACCAACACAACACATTTCTGTTTACCCTTCACAGGGGACTGATGATATACGTGTCAATAAAGAATAGGACCTCAGTGACCTGGAAGTAATGCTTGCAATTGTGTTAAGTTATGATCTCGGTAATGCTTATTTAATGTTAATATGGACAATTTAAGAGCGTACAATTACAAATTACTTTAAATTATTCCTCAATAAGAAAATAAACTATCTACTTATTTGCACTAAGATCTTGTTCTTGTCTAAATAGATTTTGTTTTGAAATAAAACAAATGATATTTGACGATTTGACAATTCTACTAGTCACCCTACTCTTATTTGAAACATATGGTTTTTAAAGAAATTATAGCTTTAATGAGATCAGTCTTGTGCCATACTAAATAAATGACATTGCTGTACTTTGGCTTTCATCGTACTCTAGAAATATGGAATCGCGTGTCGACTCCCACTGTTCAGCAAAGAATATTAGATTTTATCGTCCTCTTTTTGAAATTGGTTGAAATATATAACTGTCGTGAGACATACTAAATTAATTTAAAATCGCGGATTACTTACCCATGAGCGCAGCCGACATCGTCGCGACCGCGCACGCTGCTCATGAGGAAGAACCCCTCTGTAGTTCGAAACTAGTAGAGCTTTTCTCAGTATTGTCACGTGAGTAACCCGCGATTTTTATTTTTTTGTAAAGTTGGTTATAGTTAGGTTCGGTTTTTATTAGCAGTGAAGCTACAAGGGTTTGATAACATTGCTGGAGAGAACTTAATGTTACTTCTTTTCGTCCATCTGTTTTTGCTTTGGAATAAGTACAAAATAATTAGTTTTGAGGCAAAAATTTTGTTGATTTACTATTTTGCTTCATCAAAACTTGTCTTCCAAGTATCTATTTATTTTAAATATACGCAAGGTTAACCATCTTCAATTGAATACCAATCTTATGAACACGTCCATAATGCTGTATTTTGAATGTTGCTAAGTCCTATTATCAATAACTAAATTTGTATGGTGAACCATGTGGAATTTATGTTATGTTTGTGTGAGTGTATGGATATCCTTGTCTTTGTTCAAATGTGTTCTTGTACACTAGCAGGTCAACCCATAAACTTATACTAGTACAGAATCCAGAGAAAGAAAAAACTCCCAGCTCTAAAACTGTGACCAAAGATTCCGCAACCAACAATCTCAACAGAAATATTTGCATTGCTCTGCAAAAACAGAGTGAAGTTGCTATCAGACATTTAGATTGAGTGTCAATCTCTGACTAACTCTGTATTACCACTCAATGTTACATCTTATTAGTATTGTAATAAAGTCGAAAATCATTGAAGGTTGATGTGCTAGTGTCTGAACTGTGTACATTCTGATACTGTTGGCAACAGTATTATTATTGTCTTATTCGTTCATAAGCCGTAAAGTTTGAATTTAAATTAAAACATTAAAAAAACGATTGAAATATTTAATACGTGTTTTATTTATTTGTTAATTTAGGAAGATTCTATTACATGTTTCATATTACTACTCAAAAGAGGATAAAAAATATATGAAACTAAAATTCTTCAATAAAATAATCTGCAAATCAGTTGCCACAAAAATACGTCATATTTGCTCTGAGGACTTTATCATCAAGTAACGCCTAAATAATGAAATGACACTCAATTTTAAGTCGTGCTTAACCATTTGACCTCTACGGACGGCTACAGCCGCCAACCGAAAATGTGCTAAACACACCATCGACGTCTATAACCGTCCAGAAAACGATATTTTGTAAGTACAAAATGAATATATAAAATTAAATGTTTTGTTTCTTTTTCCTATTAATTAAAAATACATTAATAAAATATTGTAAAACGGCACAAAGATATATTCATTATTTACATTTAATTAGAAAAAACAATCATCAAAAATTACTAATCGAAATACGTAAAAAAGTGTTCTTCCTCACGCCACGGACGGCAGGACACGGCGGCTAGTGATGGGCAAGTAAGGTAAGGTGGGTAACATGTATTTAAATTTAGAATTTTTTTATTCAAGGTAGCTTATTATTACTTCGGCAATTATTTTTTATTGATTCATTCGTAACTAAAGTCAAAGTCAAAATCATTTATTTCATAATTGACCAGGAAGGCACTTTTGAACGTCAATAATAAAAAAATTTAAAGCGAAGCTTATTTGCTCATTCCATGGTGTGGAGTGCCTCCTATGGAGAACGAGCAAAAAACTGCATAGGTTACTCTTTTCCAATGAGATTCACAATATAATTCTCCAGTTTTTATGGTTCGATTGTGCGCGAACAAAGTAACACCAAAATCCAGTCAGAGATCGAAAAAGAAAATAACCTTAAGACTATGAATATTTATTCCTAAAGCATAATGTTCATAAAATTGTAGAAAAGATCATATTGGATATCCATATTATCAACAGTAAGGTACAAAATACGGTGTAAAGATTTCAAGGGTATTTTTGTATAAAATAAACACTACTTCGTCTCCGGCCACCGTAACCACGGGCCTGCGGACGGCGAGCATGAGTCGCCCGACAAGAACCAGACACGAGCGTATGGCGCGTCGAGTTCCGCGCGCGCCTCAAAGAGCCATCAGACCACCACGGATGGGGCCCAATAGAGCTGAGCATACAGAGCCGCGGAAAACTTAACGGGTTACCGGGCTTCCGGATCGAAGTGCAGGAGTAGAAACGGGATAGTTTTTAGTCAGTAAGAGTCTGACACTTCCTCCCGCCTCACCCAGGCGGGAGCAGACATTCGATGATTTCCCCCCCTTAAAAAAATCCATATTGACGCCAATAACCTGAAATCAATCTACCTTCCTCTGATTATTATTTATTATGTGCCGCAATAACCCATCCCTATAACAGTCGCATGTGAGGCAGTTGTCAAAAGGTGTGTGCTAGGCCAGCTACGTCAGAGACGGCTCTTCCCGTCAGCGGACGACGTCACAAACGACATTAGTGGTGCACCTTTTTATTCTTTGATTTATTCATTTGTATTTCTAAAGTCCAGTTTTCCGTTGTTTAAAACTTTGCAACTGCTGTTTAACCTTTCATGTGTCTAAACGTGGATCCACGAGAGACACAATGTATTTTCTATTGTGGCTCGTATCGGTGCATCCAAGCGGTTAATAATAGTATAATTCAAAAAGCAATGAATTGGTTATCGATAAGATGTTGGAATCTCTATTGTTTTAGGTATTTGTTCTGAATTTGTGGCTTGGTGTGGGAATGTCGGCGATGCGTTTACGCTCTGGCGGTCAAAAGGTACACCTTTTGACCGCCAGAGCGTATGTGAGCGTTACAGAGCGTATGAGAACATTAAAATCCACCATAACCACACGGAAAAAAAATAAAACAAAAAAAAGTACATATAAAGTATTTATTACACAATTGACGATACATGTAGAACGTAAAATACAAAGCTCTTCTAAACAATCCTTATATCAATCGAATAAAATGCTAAGCAATAGGAATACACGATTTCCATCGATATCGATACTAAGTAATAAAAATAAACATTACACATTTATTGACAAGCATTTATTACATTCATGACACCCAAAGTTTTTTAAAAATACTCAAAATTACTTATAGCAACTTGACTATGTAATGACTAAGGGTTGGTTCAGATAAACAATTGATACGCGTTTTATTCGAACGACTTTTTTATTGACACATGTGAAAAAATTATACTTAAAAATTACTTAATTTATTTATTTTATTATCGTATTTCAATGTACTTTTGTATTATTACACTCACAGCTCTAAATTATGAACTCCGGTATGGCTTGAAACTGTACGAGTATCCTCGAACATTGTAAATAAGCCGTCAGTTTCGTCGCGGCACTCGTGCGAACGAGTCGTGTTGTAATTGTTTACGTCGATTTGACGCACTAATCGTCTGACCATTGATAAGCAAGTACCTAAGAGCTTAGAAAGGTCCCGCGCGGGGCAA